AATGTGCTAATTTTTCACTTGAAAAATATGTTGTTTTTCCAAAATCGTTTAAAAATTAGGATATTTTTTTTTCTAAAAGAATATATGCTTATTTTCAAACAAGCTATTTTTTTTTCGAGTCCCACTTAAAACCCAGCCAGTAGACAGAACTTCTTTGTATTGTAACTTTCAGTTTTCAAGATTTATAAAACTTTTAGAGAATATTATTTTCACAATAATATTTCTTTAAAATCCAGCACCCTCTTCATCCTTTGAGTCGGATCTCTTTTAAGATGTTAGGAAAAATACAAGAAAGAAATTAGAAATATTGTTGGAATTGTATAAATAAAATATGGAAGGAAACATTACAATAAATAGAGTAACAATAAAATTAGAGTAAATTGTTGTTGAAGTAGTGGTGGTATTGAAATGAATCGATGTCTGTGTTGCACACAGTTTTCTTAAAACAGATTTGTCACACACTGTGATGCAAGATGATTGATGACATCTCAGGATACAACGGTTAAAAGTAGTTGACTAGCACCTCATCACTACTTTAAGCGAACTAAGAATACTCACAATTCTATCATCAAACTAGATCAAGGAACTAAATTATCTAAGTTACTAAGAACTAAACTCTTAAAACAAAGAGAGAGGAGAAATAATTCTCAATTTTTTTTACTTTTTTGATGTGAAAAATAAGGAGGAGAACACATCCTTATATAGTATTAGTTAGGATGGGGAATGTTTCAAATTCTTAGTTAATTTTGTATTTAACACAAATAATGTTGCAATAGCCATGAATGAATTTGTAACCATTGAATTGATTATGGAATTGATCCAATTCAAATACAAATTACATATAGAATTGACTAGACTTGAGACCTAAGAATTGTTATTACAATTTCATTCAACTTGAATATATTAATTTAATATATTATTTTCTAACATTTCTCTCATCAGCTCTTTTGCTTCTAGTAGACGACGCTCGACCGAGTAAGTCAACAGCACATGCATAATTTTCCTTGGTGAGCCAACCCCATATTTAATTTCCATGGATTTTAGGAATTCAAGTCCTTCCTCTACCAGACCAAAGTGACTACACGCGGTTGCGAACTGCAACAAAAGCGATGCGATCCAGCTGCACATCACGCTGTGTCATCAAGGAGAAGAGGTCGAGAGCAACTTTACCTTGCCCGTGTTGTGCATATGCAAAAATAATTGAGTTCCAAGTCGTCGTTTAACTGTCCTTATATGATGCATCAAAGGATTTCTTATCATATCCAACGATCCCACACTTAAAGAGTACATGAAGATCAAAGCACTGGCTTCATATTCATTCACCTCAAATCCAGATTTTACAACCAACACAAGAAGTTGTTGACCCAATTTGAGAGTGGCTAAATCAGAGCAAGATCGAAGGACAACTGAGAAGGCGTAATGATCAACTTTTAGGTACTCGAGACGCATTTGTCCAAGGAGCTTCAAAGCGTTTTCATTCAAACCATTTTGCGGCAAACCTGTCAAAAAAAATTTCGAAGAGACAAGTTCCTTGACATGGATGAAGTCGAAGATTTTCAGTGCATTATCTATGCCGCTGCTATTTGATTTCAGATACATCGAAATCAAGGCATTAGCAATTGGCGTTAACTGTTCAAATCCCCTCTTTAGAACCAGCATGCAAAGATCTCCCTTGATCTGTTGAGAATCCCCAGAATACAAACTGAATTGATATGTATGGTGTGAGTGTGGCTTTGCAATTGACAGCTCTCCAATAAGCTGTCCAAAAATCTAAATCCTTCTTGATATACGATGAGATAGAAATAAATAGAAATAACATGTTACATACTCTTAACATTCAAAGTGAGCCCTTTATTCCTATTCATTAAGAATGAACCCAATCCCCCAAGTAGGATGCGAACCTATGAGGTAAATAGTCAACTGCACTACCATTGAGCTATTGAGAAACAATGGGAGATTAGATCTAATGGTGTTCAATTTTCATTTGCAGTATCCAACTGAACTGAGGACAATTTTTTGGGATTAGCTCACCCTGCGGGATCATGATTCTTTATTTCGGCCATTGTAACATGTGTTGGCCCTGAGAACAAGGAGTATGATAACTTTACGTCGTTCTCACTTTCCTTTGATTTATCAATGACAACTTGTTCGGGGTTCAAAAACATTGGAATAGATAACTCATCGATGTGAAGTGGAAACACTTAAAATTGCCATTATACTTGTATATGAAAATATGTTCCATGTGTTCAACGAAATTTAAAATCGGCCTATGATCTTTGTAACTGGTTTCAAGTTAGAAAAAATGAGGAGAAATTTGCTCATTTTTAACAATTTGAAAATTAATCTACTACTTGATAAATATATCGATGATCAATAAGGCAATTGTCCCAAAAAAATGTCATAAAAACCAACTATATAACCCTCTTTTAGAAGTGAGGTTGCCTTTTAAAGAGAAAACACTATACATTTCATTCATCCAAAATTTGTGAACGTTCCATTGTCATTACACCTACCTTCTAGCCTTTTTAAAAGGCCGACTCACTTCTAAAAGAGAGTTATATAGTTGGTTTTTAGGACATTTTTTTGGGATACCTTATTGATCATCGATATATTTATTCAAGTAGTAGATTAATTTTCAAATTGTTAAAAATGAGTAAATTAGCTCTTAATATTTCATTTTTAACTGTTCAAATATATATATCTTCTATATATTAAAAGTGGCTATGTAACGGAATTTCTTATTTTTAACGGAAAAATTAACGGAATTTGTTGTTTTAACGGACTATGTAACGGAATTTCTTGTTTTAAACAGGCAGTTGCACCTTCTTTCAATGTTTTTATCATAANAACCCAAGTAATTTTTGTGCTAATGGTCTACGATTTTCTGTTTCAGGTTATGCTCTTGCCTTGGATATGACATGACAGCGAGGGAAATCCAATCTACTGCTAAGGTGTAAATATTTCTTCTTTTTCTTCTTATTATATTTGTAAAAAAGAAATTTCTTGTTATTCATAGATCAATGAAATCACTTGTTAATGATTCTGCTTTATATGTAACTTTTGACAGGGAAAGGAAAAGACCTTTTGGAGCATGCTATAACAGAACATAAGTTATCCTTAAGCAGATGGACTCAGGTTTAGTATATTCTTCCTTTCTTGTAAACTATAGTGCATTAATAATTGTAATGTAATGTATGTATTTTCTTTAACTTTTACAAGATTTTTTTTCCCTCTGTTGTTGCATTCAATTATTTCAGTTTATGGTATCTTTTCTCTTTGTTGGACTAATTTTGGTTTATTTTGAGATTAGTTAAGTATTTGGAGCTCTAAACTTGAACGCTATTTTCATTAGCTTCCCCAATTGCTTCTGGAATATTGATGGGATTAGTTTTGAAGCTGAAGTTTATCACTAAACATGGAGAAAGATGTGCTTTTGGTTTGACTTTCTAAGTTAATATGTTACTAGCATACGATTGCCTTGGGAGAATGAACCATTGAACCACCTCGTTGTCTGTTATAATTACCTGTAAGGTTCAATTCAATTCAAAATTTTATTCGACAATGTTGTTCGGAAGTGCCGAAGTGGTTGTGGTAAAAACTGTTTTCTCTACTTTTTGATGATATGATGTGCTTATGTTGATGAAGAAATTGCAAGTGTTTTAAGAATTTCAGAAAATTATAAAATAATGTTGCGAGTCATCCAAAGTAAATCCTCTATTGAGCATTTTTTATGGAAGTGAGGACTGAGGATTGAGGAACCTGCTGCATACAGGCTGCAGCACATGGATCCTCTTATTTGAAATAACCCTTTGTGTGAAACCCTAATACTTGAACTAATTTGTTGATTTTACCAAATATTAGAATGGAATGTCTACTAGCTATCGAATGTCCAGAATTGTGAATTGTGATACGTATGTCAATTCTGTTATTTCAAGTGATTGAATGTTGCTATTTCTATCAAAATTTGCACTAGAGCATATTGCATTATCAAAGAACCAAATAGCAACTTTGAAATCTGTTAGGTTTGCATCTAAGCATCTTGTTCTTTTCTTCACTTGGTAAGTAATTAATGTTAGTGTTGGAGAACCTAAACTTTTGAATCTAGCACTCACCTAATGGTGGAGGTGGTGGAAAATTAACATCAACCATTGGAGATGCTTGGTCACAGACTCACAGGAGAAATCTGCTTGACATGAACCAAAAATAAGTTCATCTTTTCTATCTTTCAAGGCACTAAAACCATTTTCTGCAGTAGTCTCTACTCACTAGATACAACATTAATCAATGATATTGGACCTTATCCCTGCATTAAGACTTACTTTGTGTTGTAGGGAAATTGCAAGCAACTTTTTTCCTTTATATTATAGAAATTATTGGTTTTTGGTTCATTCTGAGATGTTTGAAGGGTGGTGCAGCAGATTTTTTTTTACTTGCCCGTGTTTTTGATTCATTTCGGAGTTTTATTAGCTTCTAAAGAGCATCTTATCTTATACTATGTCGCAGCAAAGATTGAAAGGATTAGCCATGTTATCCATTGAAAAAGAAATGGTTGAACAACTTGACTATACAAAAGTGATTGATATTTTTGCCTCAAAAACTGTAAGACGAATTATATTTAAGTGATCGGTTAGAACATTTACGTATTGTTATTTGATTGCAAAATAAATTTTTTGAATATTTTATTTTTATTTGTTGCTTTATTGTTGAATTTAAGTTAACAAATTTAGTTTTGTAAGACTCTTTTAAAAGAAAAAGTAGATTTTCTGCTATGATTTAGGGGCTCAATTATTTGATTGCAAAATAAATATTTTGAATACTTTATTTTTATTTATTGTTTTATTGTTGACTTTAAGATAACAAATTTAGTTTCGTAAGACTCTTTTAAAAGAAAAAGTGGATTGTTTGTTATGACTTAGGGGCCCAAATTTTGAAGTTCGCCTCAGGCTCCGCGAAACACAGGTACGGCCATATAACCGCTGAAGTCTCAGCATTGAATGGCGATGCCAAATCTGCTAATCACTCATATTCACGTTGCATATGCTTGCCTGTAAGTTTTACTTTTCGATAGCTAGCTCTTATCGGATTCATTCATTAATCATTAATAAACGGATTTTCTTTTGACAATTGGATCCCTTCAAAGGAATATGAGTGCGGGTTTTTATCCAAGGTAGTTTATGTTAGTCTCTTTAAGATAATTATATTGATATGACAGGATTTGCACCGACAATTTATATAATTCATATGATGAATTCCTGGGAAGCAGTAATGGGTACGTTTTTTTTTTTTTTTCCATGACCATGAGGTATGCCGTATGTGTTTGGTAATGTGCACAATTGTGTATACTTGAATTCCATTATCTATTGAAATTTGAGTTTTCCATCTTTTTAATTTGTTCATTTCTGATTGGATTTCTTGCAAAGTTCAGACGCATTATCGTCAGAATGCTGGTTTGTATTAGAATTCAGAAGCACTGGAACGGACGGAGAAGAGACGTAGGCAGGTCAGCAGCTGTTAGGGCAGTATGGGTTGTGGATATTGTGGGCTTGTATGATTGGGTTATTGGGAGTGAGTGTATGGGGCAACTTCTATTCCGAATCGACAACTTTTCATCGATGGCGAATCGAGGGAGCCCATCAAGAGAAATCGTATTCCCATCATCAATCCAACAACTGAAAAGATCATCGGGATTATTCCGGAAGCTACAGCTGAAGATGTAGATGTAGCAGTGGAAGCTGCCCAGAACGCTTTTTACCGAAATGCAGGCAAAGATTTGGCTTCTGCTGCAGGGGCACATCGTGCCAAGTATCTACGCGCCATTGCTGCGAAGATCATAGAAAGGAAATCGGAATTAGCAAAACTCGAACCAATCGATTCTGGGAAGCCATTGGAAGAAGCGGCTTGGGATATAGATGACGTTGCTAGATGTTTTGAATATCATGCTGAGCTTGCTGAAGCTTTGGATTCAAAGCAAAAGACTTCTATTTCTCTTCCGATGGAGACATTCAAGTATCATGTTTTGAGAGAACCCCTTGGGGTCACTGGGTTGATTACCCCATGTACTTGTTTGGAATTAGGTGAAGTGTGTAAAGAGGTAGGCCTTCCACCTGGCGTTCTCAATATTCAGACAAGGCTGGGACGAGAAGCTGGTGCTCCTTTGGCATCTCATCCTCATGTTGATAAGATAGCATTTACTGGGAGTAATGCTACTGCTTCTGACCAGATTAACAATGTGCTGCCAATTGCACACGTAATGGGCACAAATTGCTTAAAGCTGACTTAGTTGAGATCACAAGGGTGGAGTTTCTTAGCTGGAGGTTGTAAGGTCTTTTGTATGGGATATTTTGGCTGATTACGATGTATCTTAAAACTAAAATTACTTAATCACGACTCATATCAATAAAGTCCTGTATTATCAAGGTCTGTTGTATGCATCCTTTCCTTTCCTTTCATTTCCTTTCCTTTTACAAGGTCTAGGATCATTCTCTCCACGGATTCACATAGATTATGTTTTTCTTTCATCTCATTACCTATTATTTCCTGCCTCCTCTTCCTATAGCCGTACAGATTGTTAATGTTTATTATAGTGCTTTGCCCCCTTTAATTTACCCTGTCATCTTTAACTGTTTGTAAGCCATTGTAACTATTTCTTTTTCAAAATTTGCTTTCTGTGTATGATACCTTTGCGATTCCATGAATGATTGCTTCTCTCAAGCTCCACGGGGAGGCAAAAAGCTCAGTGGTTTTGGGCGTGAACTTGGAGAATGGGACTGAACAACTATTTAAATGTGAAGCAAGTCACACAATATGTATCTGATGATCCATGTAACGTGTTTAGCTCACTGAATCGATTCAGGTAGCCTACTCGGATACGTACAATGTAGAACAGTCTTGAATAAAAGTCGTTTTTATTTTAAAAAAAAGGTGAGTGTATGCAAAGATAGTGGCTGGGCTAATTTGTTAGGATTGTAATTTATGCTTTATTTTTCTTTCCTTTTTTCCTTTGGTTTAATTTATACTATTATATAGTCTTATTTAGTGTTTGAAAATATTTATTTGGAGTTTCTGTGGGACCCTCTTTCATGGGATATTGAAGTTGCGGCTATAATGGCAATTGCCCTTGCAAATGGAGGAGTAAGAACATAGTTTTTAAGCTCATTGCTGAAAAGTATGCATTTTTTCTGGAGGGTTTACCAATGTTTAAATTCAAGTTCTATAGGGAAAGCATCCGGATTGGCAAGACTTTGTGGGTATTATTACTTTGTTTGTGATAAATTCAACAATTAGTTTTATTGAGGAGAACAATGCTGACAACGCAGCAGCAACTCTCATCGACTGTCTTGCTCCAAAAGCTAAGGTTAAATTAATATTATCTTATGTTGGAGATAACATGAATGGTTTGCCTTGTTTGTTTGTTTTTATCTGATAAATAATATGAATTATGATGTAGGTTCTTAGAGACGGGAGGTAGCGTGAGGAAGATGTTGCGATTTCACACCCCGGTGATATAATAAGTATTAAACTTGGCGATGTTTACTTATAGGACCATGTTATAGATTAATGCTCTTTTTTTTTAATATATCACATATAATTATTTATCAATTACATAAACATCACATCATTAATTATTTAATTAACCAACAATATTATATCTTTATTAGTAACAAATTAATTCTTAAACGAAATTATTAAATATAAACTAAGCAAACGTGCATTGCACGTTGCTTACACCTAGTATATATTAAAAGTGGTTATCTAACGGAATTTCTTGTTTTTAACGGAAAAACTAACGGAATTTGTTGTTTTAACGGACTAAGCATCGGTGCTCATTAGATCATTTCTGTATATATATATATATATCAAGTTATCCTTGAACAACATGTCTTCCTTCAATTTGAGTGTAATTCTACCATTCAATCCCTGTCAAACACATTTTAAATGAATAAACTGACAAAACACTCGACATCCCATTCACCCAAACGTGTTAATAAACTTTTCCTTCCCTACATTTCTATTTTTGAGCAGTTATTTTAGACGTCAAAAAGAGAATCTTGCAGTAGCCATTTATGGACAGTTTTTTGTAGAAAAATTTCATCATTGTTTCTCAATTTATTATTCTAATAGCAACTTAATTCTCAACTTTCAAGTTTCTATTAATATTTCAACAGCAAGTTAATTCTCAACTTTTACAAAAAAGAACAAATTAGTATTTAAACTTTTATTTTAGTATCATAATCGATCTCCAATCACATAATTTAAATAATTACATAATTGTCATAAAAACTTGTCGTTCACTATGCCCAAGTTGAGAGTTGAGATAAGAACTAGGTTTGACGAGTAAGAATTATGTAATTATTTAATATATATTTGGAATGTTTTATGTTACAAAAGATTAATTGTACCTCAATAACAAAATGTGTACTTCTTTTAAGAGTTTGGGATCCTCTCTCATTAGAGTTTTTTTTATAAGGATAATTAGAGCTCATATGACCAATAACAATTTGTTATAAATCCTGGAATATCAAGGTTTATAACATTACTATTTACGTCTCCCCACTAGATCCTCTCTCTGTGGCTCCCAAACCCCCTCCAAATTCCCTCCCTCTCCCCTTCTTCCTCTCTCTCTCTCTCTCTGGGTGTGTTCTGGTGCGCATATGTCTTGGTTTCCCTCCAAGAATCAATTTTTATTGCTATACATAGAAAACCCACTTCTTAAACCCACACACAAACACCCCCAATGATGCAGCCTTCAACTGTGACTCAAGAACCCACAAATCCCTTTGGCTTTGTTTCCAAATTGGGCTCTTATCTAGTCAATTATTCTAAGCTTAATCGTGATGGGCACTCGGTATTCTTATCTAACTCCTTGTATTATGATGCCAAGAAGAGGCCAAAGGCTGTGGCTTCATTGAGTTTGAGTACCAAAGGTGCTTCCTTTAGCATTAGAAAAGCTTTGAATCAATTCAATAAAGCAATTAAATTCCACTGTGAGAGAATCCCACTTAGTTTCGCCTCAGTTCGGGTTAATTCCGGTGAGAATAATGGTTTAAGAGATGATGGGAATGTTGTTTTGGAGGAATCAGAGGGAGTGCCTATAAATGGTGTTGAATCTGGAATTCCGAAGAAAGTTTTGATTTTGATGAGCGACACTGGAGGGGGTCACAGAGCGTCTGCTGAAGCCATTAAGGCTGCTTTTAATGAAGAGTTTGGAGATAATTATCAGGTCAGTCTTTGATGGATTCGAATAACTTTTATTGTTCATTATTCTGTGTTAGTTCGATAAGAGTTTTGTGGATATACTTACTGTGGAACAGTACAAGCAATAAATATGAAATTTGAAATACGAGTTTGGAGGTATAGTGTTGAATACAACGGTTAAATAAATAAATTCGTCTGCTGAGATTTTAGACGAGATGTTCAACTCGATATTATAGCAGCTATTTCCATTTGAAATTTGTATGTGAAAAGCCTTTGATTAAAAAAATGAATTCAGTCTCATAGTTTAGCTTCCTGGCTATTGCTTCTTGATCGTGTTATGTTCTGTTGCAGGTGTTTATTACTGATCTGTGGACAGATCATACTCCGTGGCCTTTTAATCAACTGCCAAAGAGTTATAACTTTCTTGTAAAACACGGTTCGCTATGGAGAATGACATATTATGCTTCTGCTCCGCGTGTAATTCATCAATCCAATTTTGCTGCAACGTCGACTTTTATAGCTCGGTGAGGTTATTTCTATTTCTATATAAATTCCTGTGACTAACATGTGGATGTAAGTGACTAGTTTTTCCTCGATGGTTACACTTAGGAATTATTTACTTGTGAAGTTTGCAAGCATACAATTTTCTACTATTGAAAAGCATCTGGTATTTTGTCTCTTAAGCTTATAAATGACCAGCAAATGGTAAAATTTGTATGGTCCTAATTGGTAAATTTACATAATTTAGCAGTCAAGGTCTGCATCCTTTTTAAATTGATCCCTATTCACTATTTCGTGTTTTATTGTCCGTTTTCCATTTAATGGAAGAAAGGTTGTAACAGTTTCAGTTTATGCTTGATTCTACACTTTTTGTTCAACTGCATTTATTGTAACTGAATCATAAACCCAACTTTATACCCAAATTTTGGTATGTGGACTGTATGCGGCAAGAGCTTGAACTATGACATTGCCGTTCACTCCGGTGTTGAGCTAGGGCCAATGTCAACATATTAAAATTTATTTGTATCCTCATATTTTAGTCTTCAGAAATGATCTCATATATTTAGTCCTGAACTAAAAATTGTCACTCATGGATTTGACACCATTACATGAGCATATGCAAATCCCTGATGGTGCTCTTCCCTTCCCCTTGGTAATCAATTTTAACGTATACATATTTGTGATTTTTGTCTGCTAAATCTATCTTATTAATCTGATTCACATGTTCTCACCTTCTTTTACACTTTTCAAATCCATAGAGAGGTTGCTAAAGGATTGATGAAATACCAGCCAGACATTATTATCAGTGTGCATCCTTTAATGCAACATGTTCCGCTCCGTATCTTGAGGGCGAAGGGCCTCTTAAAGAAGATTGTTTTCACCACTGTTGTAACGGATTTGTGCACTTGCCATCCTACATGGTATGCTCAGTAGCCATTTTTTTTCCTCTTATGGTATTCTTAATGTTGGTTTGATTTATTATGTCATCATATGAGCAGGTTTCACAAGCTTGTAACTAGATGCTATTGCCCATCAGAGGAGGTGGCTAAACGAGCATCAAGAGCTGGTCTTAAGCCTTCTCAAATCAAGGTTTATGGCCTTCCTGTGCGGCCTTCATTTGTGAAGCCTGTTCGCCCTAAGGTTGTGTTCTCTTCCCATTTTTCCCCCTTCTGCAAGGCATACAATTAGTGTCTTTTCCAGTTTTTAGCTGTTTATCTTTGCAGCTAATAGAGTACAGAGGTTAAAAACATCCTGTTGTATTCTAATACTTCACCAAAAAACTGGTACTGTTTTGAGTCATTCTGAGATTTAATGGATGAAAACAGCAAACTTGGTTCATTATAAGCTAGTGAGTTATATTGCATGTGAACTATATCTGAATCATGTAAGTTACAACGCCAAAGATATGTTTAATATTAAGTTAAAAATAATTGGCATTACTTCTGGATGTGCATGGCTTATGTTATTTTTCACACGATATGTTTCCCTAACTATTGTTATACTCGGGTAGATCAGCCATAACCACTTCCAGCAGGAATCACTGCAACTGACGTTCTTTGATTTGGTAGTCTAATGGAGGGGGAT